TCTTCATTCTGCGGTCTATAATGACCCCCAAATCCTTCTTCATTTCCGACTTCCCTAGTTGCATACCCATAAGTGTATAGTCCATTTGCCTATTTTTAGATCCAAGGTGCATTACCGTACATTTATCGACATTGAACTTCATCTGCCATACAGTTGCCCACTCCCCGATTTTCTCCAGGTCCTCCTGTAATGTTATAATGTCTAAATATGTGTCTACTACCCTCCCAATTTTCGTATCATCAGCAAACACTGAGATATGACTTCTCACTCCCTCCCCTATATCATTAATAAATAGGTTAAAAAGCATGGGACCCAGCACCGAACGCTGGGGTACGCCACTCATATCTGAGAAGGTGCCATTACCTGATACTCTTTGCGCACGTTCTTGTAGCCAGTTTTTTATCCACGTACACACTAATTCATCTATGCCCATAGCCCTTCGCTTGTATAACAATTGTCTATGTGGCACCGTATCAAATGCTTTGGCAAAGTACAGATATACTACGCCCATTAACCTCCCCCATCCAGATCTCTACTTACCTCTTCGTAAAAGGTCAGCAGGTTGGTCTGGCAAGAATGATCCTTCCTAAATCCGTGCTGCACATCACTTATTATACTATGATCCCGGACAAATTCCACTAAGTAGTCCTTAATAATTCCCTCTAACAGTTTACATACTATGCATGTTAGACTAACTGGTCTATCGTTCCCCGGTTGGCATTTTGACCCTTTTTTGAATATAGGTACCGCATTAGCCCTTCGCCAGTCTTTTGGCACTCTACCAGCCACTACAGATTCCTTAAAAATGAGGAACAATGGTCTTGTTATCTCCTTGTTCAATTCTTTGAGTACCTTGGGGTGTAGATTATCAGGTCCTAATGCTTTATTTGCGTTTAGTAGTTTAAGCCTATGTTGTATCCCCGATTCAGTCAACCATTCAGGTGTATGTCCTGTTAAATTGTGTTTTTATCATGTACATTAAACCCATCTGTTTCTTTGGTGAATACCGACGAGAAGTATTTAGCGCCTCTGCCCTCTCCCTGTCGCTTGTGAGAAACGACCCATTTATGTCCTTTATTGGGCCTATCTGTTCCTTTCTCCCCTTTTTACTGTTTATGTACTGAAAACATTTTTTGGGGTTCTTTTTACTAACTTCGGCGATATATTTTTCACATTCAATTTTGGCTGCCCGCACTGCCTGTGTTTCCTGTGTTTTTTTTCCTTCTATGGTATCTGTCATGGTAGGTTGTTTGGTATTTAGTTTTTTTTGTTTTTATTTTTGTTTAATGAACCAAAACAGTCAATATAGATTATCAAAGATATATCATATTCTCTCAAGCTTACTCTGAGAGACCGTTCTATGTGAGGGGATGGGGAAACAGAACTGGGCTATACATTATCACAAGATGAATGAAAAAAAAAAACTTTTGTGTTAATGTTTAAATCAAGTATATAGAGTTACATGCAGGAACTACATTTTAAGATATTGACAAGATGGTACAGATGTCCTACCTCAATGCATAAGATATTTTCAAACATATTTGACCGATGTTGGAGATGTGGGGTAGAAAAAGGTACTATGCTACATATATGGTGGTCATGCCGAGATCCAACCTTTTTGAGAAATGGTTGATAAGATAGGAGCACATCTTGTCAAGGTCCAGGGATCTCTTACATCTGAGATCGTGCTATTGACTATAATACCAGGTCCTATTAAAGAAGTCAAGAAAAACCTATTCCGATTTTTTTTTTTTATTTGCCGCAAGAGCGGTAATAGCTATACGGTGCAAACTGTTGCACGTGTATGTTGTGTGTGTGCGTGCGTGTGGTTGTATTTATTAATTTTTTATTGTTTTGAATTCTACTGGTTCAAGGAAATATCAGGGAAAATACCAGACCCCTGGCATTTTTGTTTTGAAATAGAAAAATGAATTGAGGCCAGAGTCTCTTTTTCTGCAGCCTCTGTTCTAAATGAATGTAAAGCACTTAGTACAGAGGTTTCTCATTCATTCAGCGACTGGTGATAGTAAAAGATCATCCAGTTTCTGAATGGGTAGAAGCCTCTGTAGCAAGTGCTTCTCCCCATTGAGAAACTCATGAACAGGAAGTGCTGTAAACCACTTCCTATTCAGTCATAACTGGGGACACATAGTACTATGTGTCCCCAGTTGTTTACAAACACTGAAGTGATCTGCTGATCACTCCAGTGTTTGTTTTGCACACTTAGGATCAGTAAATGTCACATATATTTACCGAGGCTCTGCTCTGTCACGCACAGAGCCAGTCCTCCTTAAAATGCGACTGTGGCTCCTCCCTGCACACCGCTTGGCCACCCTGACAAGCGGCTCCCTCCTCCGCTCCCCCTGCTGGCTGCAGCCATCCATTTCCGCTCGGATCCCTGCTGCCTCAGCCCATACAGGGCAGAGTAGCGGGAAGCCGAGGAGAAGCATAGGGCGGCTCCAGACGGGGAGGAGATGAAAAATGCCAGTGGCAGCTGTGCTGGCGGGGGGCACCCAGAAGTTATGCTAATAGCTGTCATCAGCGGCTGAGAGTCGGGAGAACCCTTCTGGTATAAGTTCATGGTCGCTAAAGCGACCATAAGCTTATAGCAGAAAGGTAAAAGCCACCAGCGTATGGCATACTGACGTGGCCAGCTGCAAGCAGTTATGTTCCGCTGTATGCCATATGTCGGTGCCAGTGAAAGGGTTAAAATTGGTCTGTTTGCAGACCATGTTATTCTTAGTTTAACACATCTGACTCCTTCACTTTGTGTGGTGCAAGTCAATAATAATGAGTTTAGTACTGCATCTTTTCATAGAGTGAATGTGACCAAATCCTATGTATTGGACCTGGGTATAAAAACTACTTCTTGAGCCCCTCCATGAGAGGAATTCCATTACACGTTAAAAAAACCTCCTATATTCCTTTTTTAGGAATACATCTTACATACCCCTCCACCAGGATATACGATTTGAATTTCGCATAGCCTCTATCTTTAAATCTATCTAGTAGAATATTGGACTGAGAAAGAAAATCCTCCTTCTCAGTACAATTTCTTCTGATACAAATCAATTGTCCCTTAAGAATTCCCCTAAGCCACGTAGGGTGGTGACAACTAGATATAGGGATATACCCCATTCTTATCAGTCGGTTTGAAAAAGGTTTTAGTAATAAATTTTCCTTGAAGTCTAAAAATATCTAGATCTAAAAATTGGATGTTATAATTACTAATATTATAGGTAAAAAGCTGGATTAAAATCCATTAAAAGAGATTTGTTTCCATTTGTTTGCTGGCTGGCCGTTGGACTTTTTAATAGTGAGTTTTTAATTGTTTCATTTTCAATAAAAGTTAAAATACTACACTATAAAGCTCTTTTTTGCCTTTTAATCTGAATACTTATTGGAACAAAAAACAATACGGAGAGAAAAAAAGTGAATGAGGAATCACCGGGAGAACCTTGTGTTCGTTATCCACATGCTGTGAAGGCTGCGCTGGGCAGCTTAAGATTGTGGTGAGTGCATAACCACTATTTTTGAATGCCCAGAGAGCAGATAATTTAATTCAAGTTGGACAAAATATATATATATTTTTTATTTATTTAATTTATTTATTTTTTCACAGAATTTAAAGCTTTATGGATAGGACTTATTTTGCACAATGGACTTTCTAGGCACTGAATCACTTCAGTGATTTGTTATACCTTGGATCACTGCCTGAATTATTTACGGGGGTTCTTTGCACTGCTTATTAGAATATGTATAGCCATCTGCGATTTTGTTGATCACGTTTTATAATGTTTGTTACTTTATGGTCACTTATTGTTATTTATTCACTTTATGCATTTATTCAGGGGTTGTGTAGCGCTACATTATTGTTTTAACATTTAAAATAGATAGCATCACAATGCAACAGTCTGTTTCAATTGTTTTACCACATGCTGCTGCAACACATTTATATAATGTTTTCCCTCATCTCAGCATTTCCAGCCATCAGATCTTACCATTCCATATGGCCCCTTTTGGAAAGCTTTACTGTTGATTCCTATGCCCTTGACAATGTAATCACCAGAATAAGAATAGGAGGGGAAATCTTGAACAAGGACAGCAATATAAACATGCATTTTCTAGAGTAAGAGAAAACTAGGGACCCAATGAGCCATTTTTTGCCAATCCTACTGGAGATTTCCGATCATGTCTATATTACTAAACTATTCAAAATGTGGTCACCAAGACAAGAAGCGAGGAGAAAATATTTTGACAAAACCTCAGACTGCAATAAATATCTGACCGAGGTTCTAACCTTTTTTCACGTTCAAAACCACACACAAAAAAAGTACACAGACTCATTTAAATACATTACTCAATGTATTTCTCGATATTAGCTTGTTAGAGCAGCAGCAACAAAATTACTCTTTTGCACATAGCCTATCAAAGAGCTGGTTGAATCCTGCAGGGCCTACTACTGCAGGCTGTCTGCTGAAAAAAAAAGCAACCTGTCTTTATTCTGCACAGAGTCAAAGTACTCAGATCTGTGAGAAATAAACAAAAGGACACATCAAGATTAAAGGGTAATTCAACATTCTCACCAAATGTGAGAAAATGAAATCACCCACACATCTGCCGTTTCTCACCAACCCGGCTGGTCATACCTTTGCTGCAACCGCCATCCTCCCCACAGCAGCTGGTAAATGGGCTGTACATCATACAGCACTCTGCAGTCCTGCACTGAGCATCAAGAATAATGCTTGCAAATGGCAGGTACTCGTTGGTCAGCACTGTCACCTGACCAATGAGTGCTCTCCATTTGCAAGCGTTATTCTAGATGCTCAGTGCAGGGTTGCAGTAGGGTGCATACACCGGCTGCTAAAGCGGAAGGGGGGATGTGGGCAGCTGGAGTGGGGGTGATAGCAGTTCCAGCAAAGATGTGACAAGTGGGGGTGGGGAGAGGGGGGAAGATTTAAAACTGCATGAAAATGAAAAAGCTACTATTACTGTCATACCTGAAGACTGGACCTCATTGACATATTGTAATAGTTCTTGTCCTTGGTGGATGACATCAAAAGTCAAGTTATTCATTGTTAGGGCTTTGTCAGCATGGTGCTGCAGTCTTTGTTCTGCAAGTGTAAGATCCTCTGTGTCAAAGTCATTCATTTGTAAAGAAAGTTCATCATTCCAAGACTCTAGATCAGAGATTATCTGTGAGCCACAAAGAGATAAGGAACAGTTAAAATAATGTAAAGAACATTATTATTACAAATAATGGTGCACAAAAAAGGTAAATTTTAATGGTGATCAATAAGCGAAGTAAAAATGTAGGAATAATAAAAATGTAATTATGAAATAAAGCTTAACTATACAGCACGTATATAAAAAGGCCAAAGCAGTGTTAGCATGTACTAACAATAATTTGAGGACTAATTCACCAAAGTATTTTTATATATGTTTTAACCACTTGCAGTCCAGAGAAATTCCTTACTATTTCCACACACATGATAAAATCTAAATTGGTGTCTAGCAAAAAAATAGGATTGTTGTACTCACCGTAAAATCCTTTTCTCTCCGTTCATTGAAGGACACAGGGCAAAAGATCGTAGATTCTGAATGGTAGGGTATATCGCCACCTGCAGGAGTAGGACGCTAGGCACATAACAAAAGACAAGACAGCCTAGGGGCGGCCCCTGCTGGTGGTAAGTAACAAGCAGTTAGGAGTGCACACCCCATAAAAGAGGGCGGGACCTGTGTCCTTCAATGAACGGAGAGAAAAGGATTTTACAGTGAGTACAAAAATCCTATTTTCTCTCCCGTTCATTGAAGGACACAGGGCAACAGATCGTAGATCCTGAATGGTAGGGACGTCACCAAGCAGTACACACTGAGGGATGGGCAACAACAACCAAACACCCAAAAGACACCTCAAAAGAGCCGCCTGCAACACTTTGCGCCCCAAACCAGCATCCGCCGATGCCAAAACATCCACCTCGTACAATGTAACAAAAGGTGTGAACAGAAGACCAAGTAGCGGCCTTACAAACCTGAGAAACAGAGGCCCCATGGCGGAAAGCCCAGGAAGCCCCAACAGCCCTAGTATAATGGGCAGTGACAGGAAAAAGGAGGCTCACGCCCCCTAACGGCGTACGCCTGAACCACAACAGTACGAATCCACCTAGAGATGGTAGCCGCCAATGCGGCCCGGACCTTACGAGGGCCCTCCGTGAGCATGAACAGATAGTCGGTCTCGTGGAAAGAAGCCGCAGCACCCAAATAAACATGGAAAGCGCGAACCACATCCAGACAGAGGAGCGCACGCTCCTTCCTATGGACCGGCAGCGGACACAGGGAAGGTAAGACAATGTCCTCATTCAGACGGAAGGCCGACACAACCACCGACAGGAATGGCGGCTGAGGACGGAGAACCTCCTCGTCCCCATGCAAGACCAGCAATGGGGACTTGCAGGACAAGCCAACATAGACATCCGCCGAACGGAAGTGATGGCCTCCAAAAAGGCCACTTTCTGTGACAAACACATAAGAGGAATCTCCCGAAGAGGTTAAAACCGGGATTCCTGCAACACTGAAAGCACGAGATTCAGGTCCCACGGAGCCAAAGGCGAGCGAGACAGGGGGAGCAATGCGCGTCACTCCTTGAACAAAAGTGCGAACCAGAGCATTAGACGCCAAGCAACGCTGGTAAAGCACCGCCAAGGCAGAGAATGGGCCCTTCACAGTAAAAGGCAAGCCACCGAGCCACCCCGCGCTGCAAGAATTAACAGCCACGCCGTCAAAGCCAGCGACTGTAAAGAAGGGTGTAACACAGGCCCCTGGGACAGAAGATCTTGACACAGGGGCAGCCGCCACGGGGCATCCACCACCAGGTGAACCACATCCGTGTACCATGCTCTCGGAGGCCAGTCTGGGGCCACGAGGAGGACGGTGACGGTCTCAGCTGCGATGCGTCGTAGAAGCCGAGGCAACAGATACAGTGGAGGCAAGGCATAAAGCAGCCCGTAATGACCCCAAGGAGCCACCAGGGCAACTACCGCCTCCACCCAGGGATCCAGGGCCTGGGCGACCCCCAGCGAATACAGAGCTTGCTGAAAACTTCCAGGGTGTAGTGACCACTCTCCCGGGTCCACCGACCGTCGACTGAGGTAGTCGACCTGCCAATTGCCCACCCCCGGGATGTAGACCGCCGAAAGAGCCAGAACCAGATTCTCAGCCCAGGAGAGAACCCTGAACACCTCCCGTCCTGCGGTCACGCTCTTCGTGCCGCCCTGGGGGTTAATGTATGCCAGCCCGGTGGCGTCGTCCGGCCGGACCCGAACTGCCAGATCCTGAAGCCGGGCCGATCAATGGAGGAGATAAAGGGTGAATTGCCCGAAGTTCCAACACAGTTATCGACAGACGGAACTCCTCCGGCGACCAACGACGCTGCACGGTCAAGGCGCCTAGGACTCCACCCCAGCCCCAAAGGCTGGCATCTGTGGTGACTACCGTGCAGTGCGCAGGAAGGAAGGACTTCCCCCGCACCAAGGCCAGAGAATGAAAACCACCGCAAGGAGGCTCCCGCCTCCCAAGACACCTGAATGTCCCTGTCCAAGGATAGGGGGGACTTGTCCCACCCTGCCAGGATGTTCCTCTGCAGGGTCCTGGCGTGGTGCTGCGCAAAGGACACCGCCTCGAAGGAGGCCACCATGAGAATCAGGACCCGCATGCAAAAACGAATGGGCGACCACCGGCGAGACCGCAGTAGCCGTACTTTTTGAACGAAGGTGCAGGAGCTTGTCCCGAGGGAGAAAAACCCGGGTGCGACAGTGTCCAGAACCAGTCCCAGATACTCCAGGCGTGGAAAAGGCACTAGGCAAGACTTCCAGAGTTTCAGGAGCCAACCGAACTCCTCCAAGGATGTACCGGGACCTCTGGAGCCACCACCAGAGAGGAGTGCAACTCCGCCTGCAGAAGCAGATCGTCCAGGTAGCCCAAGATCGAAACCCCCCGACAACGCAACAGCGCCAGAATCGGGGCAAGCACCTTGGTGAACACCTGCGGAGCAGACGCCAGCCCGAAAGGCAGCGCCACAAATTGAACATGCACCTTCCCCATCGCGAAACGAAGATATCGCTGATGAGACGCGTAAACGGGTACATGAAGGTAGGCATCCTTGATGTTGACGGATGCCAGAAGGTCTACCTGACGAAGTCAGACCACCACGGATCTGATCGACGCCATCCGGAACCGACGAACCCACATAAAGGTGTTCAAGCGTTTGAGGTCCAGGACGGGCCGAACCCCCTCTATCTTGGGCACGGTAAACCGGTTCGAATAAAACCCTTTGAACCTTTCCAAGGACGGAACCGGCATGATCATCCCCTGGGACCAAAGGGTCCGCCACAGCTCGACGGAGAACCGCCAACCCGGAGAGTCGCGTGTTGGACGAGAAGAACCGGTACCTGGACGGGACAGAAATTTTATCTTGTAGCCCGAAGAAACCAGCACCCGGACCTAAGTGTGGGAGACGTGGGCCAACCGAAAATCCACAAAGAGCTGAAGGCGCCCCCCACCCTGGGAACCAGAGCACGACCCCCATGCGGACTTGGGCTGCCATGGGCGCTCGGAGGATTGTGAAGGGGAGGGCTTGAGACCTTTCCCGCCCTTGTCGGAGGGCGCCGAAAAACCCCGCTTATGAGCGGAGAAAATGGCCCCAGGCTTCCGGCGCTGCTCCTTCTAGCGCGCTTGGGGAAGAGAGGCACTCTTACCACCTGCAGATATCAATGATCTCATCCAAGGTGGATCCAACCAGACGGTCCCCAGTAAAAGGCATACCGACAGAGCTTGCTCGAAGCCCGAGCAGCACTTAAGCCAAAGTAACCGGCGAAACGTCACTGCCGACACCGACAGCTTGGGCACAAAGGGTGCCACATCCAAAGCCGAAGTGCAGACAAAACGAAGGTCCTGCACCAATCGGTCCGCAAGCTCCACGAAAGCGGGAGAGACATTCTCTGCCGCCAGACCCAGGTGCAACATCTGAGCCCACTCCGTCAGGGTCTAAGACACCAAGGCAGAAGCCAAAAGCAGACGCACAAGTGCCCCCGAGAAGGAGTACAGAGACAGCAAAAGCGCTTCAGCTCTCCTATCGGAGGGGTCCTTAAAGGACGGATAATCCTCCACCGGGATAACTGTGGCCTTGTGCAAACGAGAGACCGGGGGGTCCACCACCGGCAGAGAAGACCATGTAGACACACAGGCCTCCCCAAGGGGATAGCAACCGAGAAACGCTTAGGGACCGCAAAAGGACTTGGTAGGCCCCTCCCACTCCTTATAAATAAAGTCATCAAAAAAGGAGAAGTAAACACGTAGGTGAAAAGCCTACTCTGATGCATTCCAAACTGCACTGGCGGCAGTGCGGAAGAGCCGGGAGTATCCCCATTGAAGCAATCTCCCTGACAGCGCGTACTAGCGCTGAAACCATTTCACGGTCCTGAACCAGGAGCGCAGACGCCGCCTCATCCACACCGGCCGGATCTGGCCCGGAGGAATCACGACGATCAGGAGGAGGCGACGCCGTGGGAAGTACCCTCTCCCCCTCAGACCCCCCCTGAAAGAGCAGGAGACGGCAATGGCAAAGCCCGCTTTCTAGGGGGGGCCCCGGCGTCAAAACGCGCTCAATGCGTGTCACAACCCAGCAATGGCAGAGGAAAAGACTCCCAGGGACAGCGCAGTACCCACAGGACTGAACACCCCCACATACGACCCCAAGGGAGCAACCGCGACTGGGGAAGGGACGCAGGCGTGAAAAAAAAAACAGCAGAAAGGCATCATGGCACACTCACAAACCAGCATGTAAAACAAATTGTCTCACCACTAAGGATAATGACAGAGGTTTGGATACATGATGTGGCAGCCATCTTGGTTTTTGCGACAATTTTTGCAAATATTCAGAACCCTGCATCTCCAAAACCGCTAAAGCTACAGATGTACAACTTGCTCTCTGAGCTTATGCTGTGCTCTGTTGCCACATATGCTCATTATAGCTCTATTGGTCACATGGTATGGCAGCCATTTTGGATTGTGCAATATTCTGTCAACAACTTAAACTCTGAAACCATTTATCAGAATAACTCAAAACTTTGCACATATGTCCACGGCTACCTCTTTTACCACGGTTGTAAAACCAGGCCGTTCCCCACATCAATATGGCC